ATATGCATGTCTTTTTATGAATAAATTTGAAGTTTGTTGCATAATTTTTATAATTTTATAACGATCCTATATTCCCGGCACAAGCTCCTCGCTTATCGACATAGTCGTAGGAACAGAACTCAGTCATAAAGTGAGGAGTACCTGTAATACATATGGTAAAACCTCAATTTAACAGACAAAATTTCCAGTCCCTATGTAATAGATGAAAATTAACACCCTGTTAGTATTAAAATGTTTTTATTAATATATGTAATTAAATTGACAGTTTTTCTTTTTTAAATTCAAGATTCATCATTCATAAAGTGTATTTTCCAAAAAATGTTTGTTTAATTAATTCAATTTAAATTGTATACTTGTTTCTTATAGTCTCAGAACAGTGAGTACATAAGCAATAATACACATAGAAAACTTTTCCGCAAAATAAAACTTCTAATACATAATTAATTACATTTTAATATATGCATTCAGAAAACCTATTTTATTATATAACAGACTTCTGGCTTTAACAGACAGTCCCTCACCCAAATTAGTTCCTTAAATTGAAGTTTTTCGATATTTTAAAATTGTATTTCAAGGAAATTTATATAAAAACTATTTTAAATGTATTATTTCATAATCTTATATGCTATTATGAAAATAGTGAAATAAAATTACCAATTTAAGCATTTTTTAATTAATAAGAACTTTAAAAAACTACAACTCTTTTAAATTTGAAAAAATCTGAAAATTATCTAGAAAACCTGAGAATCCCTGAAAAATTTTTTGTAGATTGAACAGATGCACTATAGTAAATTTAGACAAAAGAAAAACGTATTGATGAGCACATAATTGCAAATGAAAATTGGCAGATAACCTGTATAACTTTCACCTGCTTTCAAATTGACTTTTAAATAATACAACCCATGGGTTATCTGCATGAAACTAGGATAATTTAATTATGTTAAAAATGCAATATAAACTAAATTAATCTGTTTCAATTATTACTTATATGTAGCTTCAATTATTCAAAAGTAACTGAAAAATAATAATAATAAAAAATATAATGTTTTTACAGTAGAACCTCAATTATCCAGACTAATTGGGGATGAAGGTAGTTCGGATAAGAAAAAATCCAGATAATCAAAAAAATAATAATAATAATTGACAGTGAAAGACATGTTACATACAGTATGAATAATTTTTATTTGTCTAAATTTACATACTGTAGCTTCAATATTAAATTATTTTTTATTAAGAAATTCAATTATCGATTTTTGCTTGAAGATGCTAAATCGCGAATACTTTTAAGACATATAACTTGTCCTGAGTTACACTCTTCTTGGCTCTCAAACCACTTCATGGCGACATCTAAACACTGAAAATCTTCAAAATGTGTAGGACCAATATCTCTTACTTCACAAATCTCTTCTTCGTCTTCTTGATCTTGTTCATCTGAGGCAGATATTTCTTTAATTATTTCCTCATCATTCAAAATTTGGAATCCAGGATCGTTTGCATCGCAATTTAACCACTTGGTTACATCATCTTCATCACATTCAGCACATACTGAAATTTGTGTAATTGCTTCCGCAATGTCTCCTATACCACTTTCTACTGTGTTACTGAAATTTTCTAATGCTCTTTTCAAAATTTTGTTTCATGATTTTCTCAAAGTTGATACATCTATAGAATTCCAACTCCCTTCCATAAGAAAATAAATTTAAAAGACTGTTGCTACATGGCTGCTGCCATGTAGCAACAGTCTTTTAAATTTATTTTCTTATGGAAGGGAGTTGGAATTCTATAGATGTATCAACTTTGAGAAAATCATGAAACAAAATTTTGAAAAGAGCATTAGAAAATTTCAGTAACACAGTAGAAAGTGGTATAGGAGACATTGCGGAAGCAATTACACAAATTTCAGTATGTGCTGAATGTGATGAAGATGATGTAACCAAGTGGTTAAATTGCGATGCAAACGATCCTGGATTCCAAATTTTGAATGATGAGGAAATAATTAAAGAAATATCTGCCTCAGATGAACAAGATCAAGAAGACGAAGAAGAGATTTGTGAAGTAAGAGATATTGGTCCTACACATTTTGAAGATTTTCAGTGTTTAGATGTCGCCATGAAGTGGTTTGAGAGCCAAGAAGAGTGTAACTCAGGACAACTTATATGTCTTAAAAGTATTCGCGATTTAGCATCTTCAAAAAGAATTGCTAGCTTTAAACAAAAATTAATAATTGAATTTCTTAATAAAAAATAATTTAATAATATTGAAGCTACAGTATATGTAAATCTAGACAAATAAAGATTATTCATATTGTATGTACATGTCTTTCACTGCCAATTGTTGTTTTTTTCCATTATCCGGATTTTCCCTTATCCGGACTACCTTCATCNTATTCACAAAGAGGGTAATGCTAGGTTTGTGCCTCCATAAAATAATGATGTTGTCTATGTATTGCTTGTACAATATGATGTCGTGGCTGAATCTCGGAATTATTTTATTATCCAGCTGTCTGATTACCAGTTCACACAGGTCGTCTGAGAAGGCACTTCCCATAGGTATGCCTCTGCCCTGCGCATACGTGTTTCCTCCAAATTGAAAAATTGAGTTGTAGCAAATCAAATGTGCTACTTCAAGAATCAGCTGGTGTAATTCCTGAGCATAGACGTTTTGTAATAGAAAATCTCGGAGTGCGCAAAAACATGGTGGTAATTCAATTGATGGATATAAAGAACGGAAATCCATGACCGAGATGTACGCGGGCTTTTCGGTGTTTTTCAGGAATACTATTAACTCCGCCGGATTGGAGATGGAGTATCGGTAATCTTGTAACTTTGGAGAGATGAAATCGTGCAAGAATGCTTCTAATTTGCACGTGGGTGCTGTGGCCTTATCAACTATAGGTCTCAATTTGTGGCCTTGTTTATGTGTCTTAATAAAAGCAAAAAGTTTGGGCGTATCCGGGGCGTCCATAACTATATCCCGCATTACGTTATTTTTCATTAACGTAAAAATTCATAAAAAAACCTTTTTAAGAAAAACGAGCATCACATTTCGGAATACTGGAATGCACGTGATTCAAATTGATTTTTGAATTTCGACTTTTGAAATGTGATTCGGAAGAAGTAATTTTTTCGAATATCGCAGTTTTGAAGAAGTTCTTTCTACTGGTCTTCGTTCTAACGAATTTTAAAGAAGAATATTTGCTTGAGAAAGGACCCAGGGAGGGATCCGAAAACGTTTGCATGTAATTTTACTCTTGTTTAATACCGGTTAAAGGGTTTGATGAAGGATTATATTTGTATTTTAATCCGGTATTTGAAGATTCTTTAGTTATGCATTCCATCACGTACATAAACAGTGTTGCAATTCACCAAGTGCAAATCAGTAAATTCATAAAATTTTTGTTTATCAACACTTACCTGAACCAGTTACCGGTGTTGGAGAAAAGACAAATAAAAATTGTAAACATTTTCAAATTTGTTATTTTTGTTTATTTTGAACAATCCAGATAATCAAGGTTCTACTGTAAGTACTATCTCTTCATATACTTTATAAGAATAAAACAAATTGTGCATCAGCATTCAAATACTTTATGAACATCAATAGACAGTTTATCATTCATATACAGTCAAACCTTGGTTTTCTAACACAATTCATTTCTAAAACTTATTCTAAAACTGAAACAAATTTTCCCATAATAAACAATATAAAATGCAGGGCTGTGGAGTCGGAGTCGTGGAGTTTTGATGTTTTAGCCGGAGTCGGATGGTAAGGAAAAGTCGGAGTCAGTAGATTTTTACGCAACTTCCACAGTCCTGGCAGGGCTGTTGAGTTAGAGTTGGAGTCGTGGAGTTTTGGTGTTTTAGCCGGAGTCGGAGTCGGATGATAAGGAAAAATCGGAGTCGGTAGATTTTTACACGACTAAACAGCCCTGATAAAATGAATTAATCTATTCCTGACCCCCAAAATAAAGACCTTTTTTTTTTTTACCTTTTCAGCTATATTCATTACTTTCTAAAAGATATAATATATTAAAAAGCTTCTTGCTTGTATTAATTAATTACAAAAATATAGTTACTTAGGAATAATTAACAGGCTTATTAGGACTTTCCCAAGGTTTTTTACTAGACTTGTATAGTATTGTATTGTTACTGACCTAGATATAACTTATAATCCTAGTAATAATTTGTAATTATTGTACTTCTAAGGTATATTGTAATGTTGGAGATAGTCACCATAGACACTGTTTTTGTATGTTATCGAATTGAAAACAACCAGTAAGGTAGAAATGCATTTTGGAATGGTTAATTAAATATGCTGGGAGTATAATAAACATGTTCATTAGTCCTAAGTAACTATGATTTTGTAATTTCTAAAAGATGTTTATTAAAAATTATTGCATTTAATTATTATTATTAAATATAATTCCAAATGCCAATTGTGTACTAATGAGAAATAATTAAAATAAAATTATATTTAATAATAAATGTTTGTTATTTAATTTGACTTTGACACCATTAAACACAAATTCTTGGATGCCATTTATAATACATAAATGTCAATTAATGCAGTTTTTATTAATTAATTTGATTTAAATTCAACTGAAGTGCATACCGAAAAATAGAATTAGTATCTTTCCTAAATGTGCATTGAAGTCTGATTTAAATAGCAATGTCATCAACAATTCATGTCATGACATCTAATGATGCAAGATGATCTCTGCACCACTAACTTCTGATTCAGTAATCCAGTCATTATCAAGCTGTTGACTTTCTTTTAACATAGGAATTATTTGACCATCTGTTCTCTCTAATCTGTGGCCAGCTCTTGCTGAATAGCTTGTTCAGCAACAGAGTTATCACAAGGCAACTGGTGCAATTATGAGTTTGAAATTCTGTTCATAAACCAATGTGTTCAAAACATAAACCATTCAAATACCAAGGTTTGACCGTACTTTAAATGATATTAAAATTATTAGTAATTTGACCTTTGATTAAAGTTCTTACCATGTTTGAGGTGGAGTAAAAGTAAAAGACAAAAACTGATTCCAAAATGGGTCATTAGGAGAAATAGATTCTTTTCCTGAGAATCGATGTAAATATTCATTCTTTTGAAGATCATTTAACGAACTACTTGAAACCCCCATCCTATTCAAAAATAATTATTCAATTCATAATTCAGCTTCAAAAGCCTTTAATGTCTAATATCATCTTACAATATATGACAAAGAATTTTTTAATTGCTAATTTAATTTAAGTACAACAAGTAACAACACTTTTAGAATCTTTCTTGATATTTTTCATACTTATTATTAAATTTTATATATGATTTACAAGAATGTATACATCTTTATTGATATATTGATATCCTAAACTAGAGTATCTTCCAAACAAAGTACTGTATAATTTAAAAACAGGTAAAATTACAGCTCTGAATGAGGTAGTTGGGATTGTAGACAATGTCCATAGAAGTAAAAAAGGCAAAAGGAACCAATGAGCTACATGCGATTTTTTGCAAGATATAATCCCCAAAATCAGCCTATCCAGAAGACCATCAGTTAGTTCCTTTGACTTTTTTACATCTAAGGGCACAATAGAGCACTGAGAGGGGTTCATTCAGCACTGCAATTTTACCATACAAAAAAAATTACACATACAAAAAAATTAGTTGCTATAACTTCACACAGTACATTGATATCATTTGATTAATAAAAATTTTTCATGCCAATGTAGAGCTTCGAAATTATTCATGTTTTGTAATTTGTAAAATTTATTACTTACAAATTTCAAGAATGTAAATTATGTGTTAAGTCACCATCAAAACATTAAACTTTCCTTCACTTTCAATGTTTATCTTGCAACATTATCAAACAAAAATAATAAAAATATTCATTTCTACTTTCTGTGTACTCTTTTATCACTCAAATTATTCTCACATAAGATGATATTTCAGTCTCAAAGAAAATAAATAAGAATAACAAATAAAATATCATCTTACTTTAATTAACATATCATAAATTCACACAGTAATGATTAAATTGTAATAAATATAATGATATGATTATATAAACATTTTTCTTACCTAAAAATGCTCAGTTTAAAATTTCCACGTAATTTTACATTATAAATCTACCCGTTGATCTACCATACGAGATAATCCACATCTGATTGCCAATTCATTTAAGAAATATCAAACAGCCGATAATCGACACGACACATTTTTCCCGAAATCATAATGTTAAAAAAAATTAAAATATTCAATTCTTAATATTATATTAATAAATCAATTTTAAAATAATTAATTTTGAAAAAATAAACATCTTCTAAACTAATTTTATCTTTCGTTTTCATTAAAAAAATAAAAATAAAAAAAATGTGTGTNTAGTCTCAGAACAGTGAGTACATAAGCAATAATACACATAGAAAACTTTTCCGCAAAATAAAACTTCTAATACATAATTAATTACATTTTAATATATGCATTCAGAAAACCTATTTTATTATATAACAGACTTCTGGCTTTAACAGACAGTCCCTCACCCAAATTAGTTCCTTAAATTGAAGTTTTTCGATATTTTAAAATTGTATTTCAAGGAAATTTATATAAAAACTATTTTAAATGTATTATTTCATAATCTTATATGCTATTATGAAAATAGTGAAATAAAATTACCAATTTAAGCATTTTTTAATTAATAAGAACTTTAAAAAACTACAACTCTTTTAAATTTGAAAAAATCTGAAAATTATCTAGAAAACCTGAGAATCCCTGAAAAATTTTTTGTAGATTGAACAGATGCACTATAGTAAATTTAGACAAAAGAAAAACGTATTGATGAGCTCATAATTGCAAATGAAAATTGGCAGATAACCTGTATAACTTTCACCTGCTTTCAAATTGACTTTTAAATAATACAACCCATGGGTTATCTGCATGAAACTAGGATAATTTAATTATGTTAAAAATGCAATATAAACTAAATTAATCTGTTTCAATTATTACTTATATGTAGCTTCAATTATTCAAAAGTAACTGAAAAATAATAATAATAAAAAATATAATTTTTAGTTTTGGCTCTTTCCGTTCCATGGATACTATGAAGGCTTTGTTTTCATACCGATTGCGAGTTCGGCTAGGCCCATAATGGGAGCGACCGGGTGGCGAGAAACCCAAAATATCCGGGACTTACTGCCCATGAAAAATTCTTGGACTTTCCAGAAATATTTAAAGAGAGTGCGGAAAGGAAACAATACCCTACAAAATCTTTTACTGTCTGAGTACCGGCTTTATCCTCAGAAGGGGTTGTAGTTGTACCTTGTCATCTCCCAAATTCTCCCCTGCTTGCCAAGATTCGGTTCCGAGTCTCTAGAACGACGTCTAGGTAGGATGACGCTTTAACCGCCTCGGTTATCCGGCCATCAATATATTAATTACTTTTTTATAATTGTTTATTGCCTATCGCCAGTAACGGATTTTCTATTAGGCTCTCTAGGCCTGGGCGTAAGGACGTAAGATTTTGGGGCGCAAAAATTCAAAATAATAATAATACAATAAAATGAAAAAGAATTTTATGTAGGAACAATTCATAAAAGGAATTATTTCAAATTAAAAGCTTAGGTAGGAACAAATTAGACGTATCAATTAAGCGACATTAATATATGCACGAACAGAGCGGTAGTATTAATGACAGGTTTTCAATAGTGCCCTTTGCTCTTTCGATATTTAAAAATCTGTAAAAATACAATTATTACAGAATTAAAATTATAAAATTGAATCATTCAGTGCAAAAGTGGTACTAGGCCCATTAGTTTGAAGGGTGCTTTCGTACTGTGAACCTAGGAGCGCCATATTTCTAAATGCGCCATTGCCTATTTATCATATATTAACTTTATTCTCCTACAGAAAAACTTCATCACCCAGATGATTGCTCTATATGAGAATCTTTATGTTCTCAGAAATCAGTGTTTGACTCCAAATTGGATCCTGATGATTTTTCGTTAGTATAGTCCAACTGATCATTATCATTACTAGTTAGATTCACTAATGGGAAAAATTGAGTCATATTACGATCATATTGCCTCACAATATGCTAATTGTTTTCAAGAAAAATTCTATATAACTATTTTATGCAGTTTTATTACATTCTGAATTAAAATGTAGTCATATTTTACAATATACTTCGTTTATTGATTTAAATCGGTACTTCATGAAATTTATTTATTTTAGAAGACAGCAAACAATTTTCTTTAAGGATTATAAGAATTATGTTTATAAATATTTCTAAAATTAATTTTTTGTGTTTACAAGTTTTTAAAATATTTATCTTCGTTTTGTATTACTAATGTACAAATTGCTTCTTACATTTGAAAACATAAGGTTTAGTTAAAATAACTCATTTAGTATTCATAAATAAATTATTAGTTTTAAAACAAAAATATTTTTGTTTATAAAACTTCTTATAAATTGTGTACTGTCAAAATTACACTAGAAGATTTAAAAGTTATCATATAAATGTTATCAATAATCCTATATATAGGCTATATTTTTTGTAGCATTAATTTGTCGAATTAAAAAATAATAATAATTTTACAATTTAAGTCTATATAATAATATAGATTTAGAAGATTTATAATGCATATATGATAACAATATGTCAATGTGATAACAATCATTACATCGCTATCAGATATAAATTATGTAAAAATTGTAATTTTTGAGATTGTAATTTCCATTGTAATATTTTAAGATTTTCCGATACAAGTTCTTTTCTATAAGAAAAATATAGTAAAGTATTTGTAATATTATTTGTGTAAAAATTCAGATTTTTTTCCTGAGTTGTTTCTACATTCAAAAAAACTAAATTTTGCTGTATTTTTTTANAAGATTTGTGGTAGACAGATGTGTATATGGTGTCTCCTCCAAATGCAATGTTCAAGTCAAGAAAATGTACCTCGGATTCACTATGTTGCTCAAGATCTATGGTAAGGCCATACGGATTGTTGTTCATCATATTCACAAAGAGGGTAATGCTAGGTTTGTGCCTCCATAAAATAATGATGTTGTCTATGTATTGCTTGTACAATATGATGTCGTGGCTGAATCTCGGAATTATTTTATTATCCAGCTGTCTGATTACCAGTTCACACAGGTCGTCTGAGAAGGCACTTCCCATAGGTATGCCTCTGCCCTGCGCATACGTGTTTCCTCCAAATTGAAAAATTGAGTTGTAGCAAATCAAATGTGCTACTTCAAGAATCAGCTGGTGTAATTCCTGAGCATAGACGTTTTGTAATAGAAAATCTCGGAGTGCGCAAAAACATGGTGGTAATTCAATTGATGGATATAAAGAACGGAAATCCATGACCGAGATGTACGCGGGCTTTTCGGTGTTTTTCAGGAATACTATTAACTCCGCCGGATTGGAGATGGAGTATCGGTAATCTTGTAACTTTGGAGAGATGAAATCGTGCAAGAATGCTTCTAATTTGCACGTGGGTGCTGTGGCCTTATCAACTATAGGTCTCAATTTGTGGCCTTGTTTATGTGTCTTAATAAAAGCAAAAAGTTTGGGCGTATCCGGGGCGTCCATAACTATATCCCGCATTACGTTATTTTTCATTAACGTAAAAATTCATAAAAAAACCTTTTTAAGAAAAACGAGCATCACATTTCGGAATACTGGAATGCACGTGATTCAAATTGATTTTTGAATTTCGACTTTTGAAATGTGATTCGGAAGAAGTAATTTTTTCGAATATCGCAGTTTTGAAGAAGTTCTTTCTACTGGTCTTCGTTCTAACGAATTTTAAAGAAGAATATTTGCTTGAGAAAGGACCCAGGGAGGGATCCGAAAACGTTTGCATGTAATTTTACTCTTGTTTAATACCGGTTAAAGGGTTTGATGAAGGATTATATTTGTATTTTAATCCGGTATTTGAAGATTCTTTAGTTATGCATTCCATCACGTACATAAACAGTGTTGCAATTCACCAAGTGCAAATCAGTAAATTCATAAAATTTTTGTTTATCAACACTTACCTGAACCAGTTACCGGTGTTGGAGAAAAGACAAATAAAAATTGTAAACATTTTCAAATTTGTTATTTTTGTTTATTTTGAACAATCCAGATAATCAAGGTTCTACTGTAAGTACTATCTCTTCATATACTTTATAAGAATAAAACAAATTGTGCATCAGCATTCAAATACTTTATGAACATCAATAGACAGTTTATCATTCATATACAGTCAAACCTTGGTTTTCTAACACAATTCATTTCTAAAACTTATTCTAAAACTGAAACAAATTTTCCCATAATAAACAATATAAAATGCAGGGCTGTGGAGTCGGAGTCGTGGAGTTTTGATGTTTTAGCCGGAGTCGGATGGTAAGGAAAAGTCGGAGTCAGTAGATTTTTACGCAACTTCCACAGTCCTGGCAGGGCTGTTGAGTTAGAGTTGGAGTCGTGGAGTTTTGGTGTTTTAGCCGGAGTCGGAGTCGGATGATAAGGAAAAATCGGAGTCGGTAGATTTTTACACGACTAAACAGCCCTGATAAAATGAATTAATCTATTCCTGACCCCCAAAATAAAGACCTTTTTTTTTTTTACCTTTTCAGCTATATTCATTACTTTCTAAAAGATATAATATATTAAAAAGCTTCTTGCTTGTATTAATTAATTACAAAAATATAGTTACTTAGGAATAATTAACAGGCTTATTAGGACTTTCCCAAGGTTTTTTACTAGACTTGTATAGTATTGTATTGTTACTGACCTAGATATAACTTATAATCCTAGTAATAATTTGTAATTATTGTACTTCTAAGGTATATTGTAATGTTGGAGATAGTCACCATAGACACTGTTTTTGTATGTTATCGAATTGAAAACAACCAGTAAGGTAGAAATGCATTTTGGAATGGTTAATTAAATATGCTGGGAGTATAATAAACATGTTCATTAGTCCTAAGTAACTATGATTTTGTAATTTCTAAAAGATGTTTATTAAAAATTATTGCATTTAATTATTATTATTAAATATAATTCCAAATGCCAATTGTGTACTAATGAGAAATAATTAAAATAAAATTATATTTAATAATAAATGTTTGTTATTTAATTTGACTTTGACACCATTAAACACAAATTCTTGGATGCCATTTATAATACATAAATGTCAATTAATGCAGTTTTTATTAATTAATTTGATTTAAATTCAACTGAAGTGCATACCGAAAAATAGAATTAGTATCTTTCCTAAATGTGCATTGAAGTCTGATTTAAATAGCAATGTCATCAACAATTCATGTCATGACATCTAATGATGCAAGATGATCTCTGCACCACTAACTTCTGATTCAGTAATCCAGTCATTATCAAGCTGTTGACTTTCTTTTAACATAGGAATTATTTGACCATCTGTTCTCTCTAATCTGTGGCCAGCTCTTGCTGAATAGCTTGTTCAGCAACAGAGTTATCACAAGGCAACTGGTGCAATTATGAGTTTGAAATTCTGTTCATAAACCAATGTGTTCAAAACATAAACCATTCAAATACCAAGGTTTGACCGTACTTTAAATGATATTAAAATTATTAGTAATTTGACCTTTGATTAAAGTTCTTACCATGTTTGAGGTGGAGTAAAAGTAAAAGACAAAAACTGATTCCAAAATGGGTCATTAGGAGAAATAGATTCTTTTCCTGAGAATCGATGTAAATATTCATTCTTTTGAAGATCATTTAACGAACTACTTGAAACCCCCATCCTATTCAAAAATAATTATTCAATTCATAATTCAGCTTCAAAAGCCTTTAATGTCTAATATCATCTTACAATATATGACAAAGAATTTTTTAATTGCTAATTTAATTTAAGTACAACAAGTAACAACACTTTTAGAATCTTTCTTGATATTTTTCATACTTATTATTAAATTTTATATATGATTTACAAGAATGTATACATCTTTATTGATATATTGATATCCTAAACTAGAGTATCTTCCAAACAAAGTACTGTATAATTTAAAAACAGGTAAAATTACAGCTCTGAATGAGGTAGTTGGGATTGTAGACAATGTCCATAGAAGTAAAAAAGGCAAAAAGAACCAATGAGCTACATGCGATTTTTTGCAAGATATAATCCCCAAAATCAGCCTATCCAGAAGACCATCAGTTAGTTCCTTTGACTTTTTTACATCTAAGGGCACAATAGAGCACTGAGAGGGGTTCATTCAGCACTGCAATTTTACCATACAAAAAAAATTACACATACAAAAAAATTAGTTGCTATAACTTCACACAGTACATTGATATCATTTGATTAATAAAAATTTTTCATGCCAATGTAGAGCTTCGAAATTATTCATGTTTTGTAATTTGTAAAATTTATTACTTACAAATTTCAAGAATGTAAATTATGTGTTAAGTCACCATCAAAACATTAAACTTTCCTTCACTTTCAATGTTTATCTTGCAACATTATCAAACAAAAATAATAAAAATATTCATTTCTACTTTCTGTGTACTCTTTTATCACTCAAATTATTCTCACATAAGATGATATTTCAGTCTCAAAGAAAATAAATAAGAATAACAAATAAAATATCATCTTACTTTAATTAACATATCATAAATTCACACAGTAATGATTAAATTGTAATAAATATAATGATATGATTATATAAACATTTTTCTTACCTAAAAATGCTCAGTTTAAAATTTCCACGTAATTTTACATTATAAATCTACCCGTTGATCTACCATACGAGATAATCCACATCTGATTGCCAATTCATTTAAGAAATATCAAACAGCCGATAATCGACACGACACATTTTTCCCGAAATCATAATGTTAAAAAAAATTAAAATATTCAATTCTTAATATTATATTAATAAATCAATTTTAAAATAATTAATTTTGAAAAAATAAACATCTTCTAAACTAATTTTATCTTTCGTTTTCATTAAAAAAATAAAAATAAAAAAAATGTGTGTCGATTTTTGAAATTGTTGATCAAAATGTTTTAGTTAATATGAAACTTGAAATTTTTTAAGAAATGAGAATTGATTTATTGTTTTTGTTTCTTCTCATTAAAGCAGTTCTTTTTTTAACTCTTTTCGCTTTGTGGGCACTTAGAAAACCTTTTTTTTTTATCAAGCCCATTAGGGTTCGGCCAGGACAAAAAGGGGGACGGGATCCAATGTATCCGGATGGACTACTCCCAAAAAACTTATCGACCCGTCCGGATTCGATCTCAAGTTCCCAGAGAGACAGGCTGCCATCATAACCGCTCGGCCATCCGGCCGTCGATCACGAGCGGCTAGGTCAGGCATGGCCAACATACGGCCCGCGGGCCGGATCCGGCCCGTGTAATGAATTTATGTGACCCGCGATCAATCTTTCAATATTAGCTACTCAAATCCAAATAGCTCGATTAAAAAACTCCGACGCCTAAAAAAGAAAAAAAAAAGGTCAACAACTCACTGTGCGTTTAGAGTTAACCCTCCATTATAAATCTCGTAAGTACAGCGTAGAATGATGATAAAGCATGATAATGTGAAAAATGTATCTGTAATCTATCTATAATTTAGTCTGTACGGGGTGACACCACATGAGATCTCGCACCACCTCAAAATCTTCTTAGGGTAGCCTCTGGTTCGGCCCGTGGAAAAAGTTTTTTTTTCCAATTCGGCCTGGGGCAAAAACTGTTGGCCACCCCTGGGCTAAGTCCTGCTGCTCTACAGAAACGCTAATTTTGAATTCCGACATCGTCCATATCAAAACTTCAACTACTGACAGAGTATTTACACTAGTTTCTTACGAAATATAACGATAAATTGGTGAAATAATAAATTTATATATGTTTTTAATCATCAATATATTAATTTTGATTAAAAACTTATATNAAAATATAATGTTTTTACAGTAGAACCTCAATTATCCAGACTAATTGGGGATGAAGGTAGTTCGGATAAGAAAAAATCCAGATAATCAAAAAAATAATAATAATAATTGACAGTGAAAGACATGTTACATACAGTATGAATAATTTTTATTTGTCTAAATTTACATACTGTAGCTTCAATATTAAATTATTTTTTATTAAGAAATTCAATTATCGATTTTTGCTTGAAGATGCTAAATCGCGAATACTTTTAAGACATATAACTTGTCCTGAGTTACACTCTTCTTGGCTCTCAAACCACTTCATGGCGACATCTAAACACTGAAAATCTTCAAAATGTGTAGGACCAATATCTCTTACTTCACAAATCTCTTCTTCGTCTTCTTGATCTTGTTCATCTGAGGCAGATATTTCTTTAATTATTTCCTCATCATTCAAAATTTGGAATCCAGGATCGTTTGCATCGCAATTTAACCACTTGGTTACATCATCTTCATCACATTCAGCACATACTGAAATTTGTGTAATTGCTTCCGCAATGTCTCCTATACCACTTTCTACTGTGTTACTGAAATTTTCTAATGCTCTTTTCAAAATTTTGTTTCATGATTTTCTCAAAGTTGATACATCTATAGAATTCCAACTCCCTTCCATAAGAAAATAAATTTAAAAGACTGTTGCTACATGGCTGCTGCCATGTAGCAACAGTCTTTTAAATTTATTTTCTTATGGAAGCTGATAACTGTTTCTTCATTATTTTCATCTGCTAGCAATAATCATCGAAGCATCTGTTTTCTATATAAGCGTTTTACTGTTTCTATCACACCCTGACCCATCAGTTGTATTACTGACGTAACATTTGGTGGAAGAAATTTTACTGTAAACATTTCATTGATCTGGTTTAAACATTCTATAGATCGGTAGTTTTTCCTCTTTTATCTATGGAGTTTTGATATTTTTTCATTCTGGAATGAATTGCTTTTTGTACCATCGTTTAAAAATTTTTCAATTCATCCAGGCTTTTTTTTGATGGTCATATTCAACTGGAAGACTTCTGATATTTTAAAGCACCTGGGGTTCTTTGATTTCCCAATGACAAGCAGTGGGAGTCTGTGTCTGCCCACTGCATTGGCACACACCATAATGGTGACACGTTCTTTATCAGTTTTGTACCCTGGTGCAATATTTTCATGCCTTGATGCTAAAGATTTGTTCGGTAGTTTCTTCCAATTTAAACTGGTTTCATCAGCATTGTAAATAAATTCTTTGTCAAATCCTTCCTTCTCCATGAACATCTTCAATGTGTCAATGAAAGTGTTTACTGAAGTTATGTCAGCAGAAAGCTTTTCCCCATGAACTTCAAGTTCCTTGATACCATGTTGTCCTTTCAATTTTTCAAGCCAGCCCGAACTTGCTTTGAAGGTGGGATCTCCATTTAATCTTGTATTGAAAAATATTGCTTTTTCACACAATAATGGACCAGATATTGACTGTCCAAATGAACCCATTAACATGCACTCTTTGTATGAACCCATAAACATGCACTCTTCAACTTCATTTCCTGATTTTTTCATAACTTTGAGCTCTGATGTTCCATCTTCTGACATTAAACAATTAGTAAACTTCATAATTTTTTCACTTTGATTTTTTATATCTGAGATCGTTGATGTTCCAAAACCATATTTATTAGATAAAGAATGTCCAGACTCACAGCGTTTCAAAACATTGATTATATCCAATTTATCTTTTAATGATAATACAACATGTTTTCTTTTCGATGACATATTGATAATATTAAAAATAAATACTGTATTTAAATCATGATCAAATTTTCAAGAAATGAATGTTCATATTAAATTTTGACTACTACTGACCAGCACTAACAGACTGCCTATTGTTTAAAGGCCCTCTGGTGGCACAAGAAGACTGATTTTATAAAATAAAAAGCAGTTGAAACGGTCAAATTTTTATTCATAAAAATACAAACTATTTATCATTTTATAACGAGTAAAATTTTTTCATTGCATTCATGGCTTTTAAGTAATGCATAAACATTTGTGGTGCAAGGCTCCTCGGACTGCGAGGCCATAGGCGGTGGCCCATGTCACCCATGCCTTACGCCGCCCTTGGCCATAGAAATGATGTAATTTGAATATAAATTATTTATAAATATATATGTTAAGTTATATTTTTATTACAATGCAAAATGTATTAAAAAGTTTACGACCACTGTGCTGGGTGAGATGATGTTGGAACAAAAAAAGTTATGCATTCCAAATATAATCCTTCATCAAACCCTTTAACCGGTATTAAACAAGAGTAAAATTACATGCAAACGTTTTCGGATCCCTCCCTGGGTCCTTTCTCAAGCAAATATTCTTCTTTAAAATTCGTTAGAACGAAGACCAGTAGAAAGAACTTCTTCAAAACTGCGATATTCGAAAAAATTACTTCAGACAAAAAAAAATTAACACACGTAAACTGGAACGATATACTACAAACAACAATTAACACCTCAATACTACTTCCAGCAGTCAAAAGATTTTAATAATCTAACGTTTTCGGCCGTCTTTTAGAGGCCCTCTTCAGGATGAAACATTAAAAAACAGTTCTATCTTTTGAAGGATTCTAATAATCGAATACAGCTGTGTTCCGAACTTTTAAATATTTAAACGATGCGTAAGATATAAAAATCGTTACGCTTACAAGACAAAAAATTATTTTAAAATAACGCTATACATAAATTATTATTGTAGAGTTGTGAAAATTAGCGCTATGTAAACACTGCTATACATTAAATATTATTAAATAGTTGTGAAAATTAGCGTGATGTAAACGCTCTGATTTCTTATACATAGCAGAAAGATTAAAAATAATTAAACTTCCGATTATTGTTGTGCCTTGTGGCAATGTAAATAATATTTCCACGATTGTGGAATCGGAATATAATCGGAGTTAATGCAGCTTCCCTTTATGGTTTCTCTATAAATCTCAATAGCCTCCAACGAGCGTAAGTCGTGTCGGTCAAAGGCCCTATGTAAAAGAGTAGCCTCATCCCAACATGGGGAAACCCCGGGCTCGGTAGCATACCGTGCTAGAGCCGTATTATACTTCTGCTTCGACACATCATATTTGTGGTCCCGTATCCTAGCCTCCAGGGATCTGTATGTGGATCCAATGTATGTTATCCGACGATTGAAACGTTCGTCATTCAAAGGTATACGGTACACCCCCGGCGCTTTTTTGTCATCGGACTTGTCCTTAGCATTAGATAAAAGTCGGAAAATATTCTGCTTTCTCTTATATGTTAAGCGCACATTCACTTCCTTAGCGATTTTACTAAAAATTCGATGAAGGGATGGTTCGTAAGGTACAATCACCCGTTTTTGCTGTGTATCAATAGTCCCCGTGTTGGTGGTAGTTATTGTAGATTGCTGCATGGTAGTAAGCCTGTCTATTAATGACTGTTGGAACCCATGTGTCGATGCTGTACGTTTGATGTTTTTCAGTTCTCTGTAAGTATCGGAAGTTTCAGAGCAGTGGGAATAAGCCCTTGAGACTAGGGCCCTAAAAGCTGATACCTTATACGTCCACGGGTCCGCTGAGTTACGAGGTATAAAGAGAGGACAGTATGTTGGTTTGCGGTAAATGGTCGTGGTTATATT